TTAGCCACTATGCTACCAGAGCTCATATATATATTATATATATATATATAGCATAGTGCCTAAGGCACTTACTGCTAACCAGAAGGCTAGCGGTTCAAACCCACCAGCCACTCCTCGGAAGGAAGGTTGGACAATCTACTTCCGTAGTAATACTGTCTTGGAAACCCAAGGAGGGGTCGCTATGAGTTGAGGCTCATTCAACGACACATAACAACAACAACAACATATATAATTGGATATAGATATAAGAGATTTGTCAGATTTGGTGAAATAGTTTATATAATTTTAAGAAGCTACATCGTGTTCACACAAAGCTAACAAAACAATCTAAATAACTTAGTAGCACTGTTGTATTATTGCTGAAATATGAATTTAAAAGCTAAGTTGCAAAAAGTGATTCAGATGAATACCAAGTATTTCATACAATTGTTTCTTCAACTATTTATAGATGGCTATGAATACTTATATTATGGATTGAATGCATTTATGTGCATTTGAATAACAAACTTTCATTATTGCAAGAATACCTGAAACTCACAATAAGAAGCTCACAATGAACTCAGATCAAGTACAAGCATTAGGCAGGATCCTTTTGGGAATGTAATAAATAATGCAGCACTTGGCACAGGCTGCTTGCTCTAAAATACAGTTAGCAAATCACTTGAAATAGCTATTTTGTATCTTACTAAAAGTTAAAATTTTGTTATATATACTACAACATCATTATTATAGAAGTATTTATTTATACTTAACAGTAAAATCATCCCTAGTAGAAAAGTATTTAAGAATAGCTTAAGATATTTATATTTATACTTTTTATGCCATATAATATTCTTGAATCAATACAAAGATATGTATTTTACAGCAGATATGGAAAATAAGACAAACTTGTTGGTTACCATGGAGTCAGTTCAAACACATGGTGACCCCGGTTGTGAAAAGTAGAACTTCTCTATAGAGTTTTTAAAGCTGTGACATTTCAAAAGCAAATCACCAGGCTTATCTTTTGAGATGCCTCTGGTGAATTCAAACTGCCATCCTTTCAACTAGTAATCAAGAGCTTGACCATTTGTTCCACTCAGGGATTTCCTGCAAAAATTTCTTTATGGGACTTTGCTAGTCTTGGCATTCAATGTCATATAGTCAACAAGGAACCACTTTCTTCTCTTATCCCCTCATCCACTGACAAGTTGCCATTGAGTCAATTCCAACTTATGATGATTTCATGTATGTCAGAATAGAACTGTACAGCATAACATATTCACTGACTGGTTTTCCAGAATTTGGTTGCCAGTCCTTTATTCAAAGATACCTCTGGATGTACGTGAACCTCCAGCCTTATGATTGGTTGGTAGCTTAACAATTTGCACTACCCAGGAACTTCCCACATTCCCTAAGATGAACAAAGTAGGCTCCAAACTAAGGGTAGTCCAATTACTATAACCTTTGATCAGTTGTGATAGAAATGAACTCCTTTGAGATTACACTGAGTCTCTGAAGCTATTAAAATAAGTGCCAATCAACTGAGTAATTTTAACATATTTATCTTATATAAAGCAAATATTAAATTTGTCATACATAGGATAATAAACTATCATCCTATGGAAAGCCTCATAGAACAGTTATAAATAGTTATTATTTATACTTTTCATATATGTTCTTTCTCCATCAAACAAAAAATATTTTCAAAATAATCAAGAATAATATCCTGGGTATAAATAGCCATATCATGCACAATTATGTTAAATAATTGTTGTATTAAATAGGAAAAAATAATAATTTGAAGAAATCTGATATATTTATACATTTCTAACTAATAGAATAAAAAAATATTGAATATAAGTTTAAATTAACTTTATTAACTTTTCTATTATCCTGACTACATTATGGAAACAGTTATGACTGAGATCATCAGATAATATAATCTCCTATGTGGAACATTCTGAACATGGAGGATACAATGTTGGTAACAGATTAACAGATGTTAACAGGTTAACAGATGTGAACCAGAACATTTCAGGACAATCTGAAACCTATGGTCTTCAGACTTCTGACCAATATTCAAATACCAAAAATTGCTTTTTCCCTGACATATTAGAAAATGAAGGTTCATTCTCAACCATAAAGGAAAGATAAGTAATATCAGAAAAGGATAATTTTGGGAAATAATATTTCAGTCCTACATGGTTTGTTCCCTGAGTTACTTTTGTTTTCTAATACTCTTCACTCTTCAGATTTCAAGCAATTAGATTTTCTATTAGGTTTATGAATGAAATATGTTCCACATTGCCTTTATACATTTCTGTCTGAAATTATCCATTTTTGAGGACACGTCACTTATTGAAAGGAATTCTGGTAGTGTAGTGGTTAA